GTATGTATGGTCGGAGGGTAAGATGGCGCCGCCATTGCGTGCAATAGGTCGGCAGCCTTATGGAATTTCCCCTTGTGGGACTAATAAAGGTATATCAAATCAAATCATGCCAAGACTGAACAAACCCGTGTAGAGCAAGAGCTAGCTGACTTAAGACACCAAGCGGGAACAAGGCTATGGCATACATGGACAAGGGAGAGAATAGGGGACTGCTAGAATGCTGCTACACATGTAGCCTCAGTTAAAGGGTTTACATGAAGAGGATGTGGGAACTACGGGTTCTTTGACACCCAACTTCTACAATAACATCAATACAACTAGTAACTCATTGTTAAACATCCAGCACCCTGAGACTGTAGGCTAAGCTGAAGAACGGGGCACATGGACTAGGCCGTGTAAGAACCACTATAAAGGTCGAGACAACAAAGATCCATGAGTACATCGGAAGATGGCCACAACCACTACTGCGCTTAGTGAATACCTCAGGCGGAAGACACCAGGAAGAAGAATAGGAGCAAAAGGAGGCATTATGGAAGGACAGGCCCCCATATTCGATGTACCACCAGCAGGGAGAAGAAGTGTCTGAATAAAGCTGAACTAAATAACAGCACAGAGGCACTAATCATGGCAGCACAGGAAGAAGCTCTGACCACAAGATCCATAGAGGCTGGGGTCTATCACACCAGGCAAGACCCCAGGTGCAGTAAAGCCCCTGAGACAATCCAGCACATAACAGCAGGGTGCAAGATGCCAGCATACATGGAACGCCATAACCAAGTGGCCGGCATAGTGTACAGGAACATCTGTGCTGAGTACAGCCTAAAGGTGCGGAGGTTAAAATGGGATATGCCCCCCATGGTGGTTAAAAAAGACCAAGTTAAGATCTTGTGGGACTTCCAGACAAACTCGCAATGGCTAACAAACCGAACAATGCTTGTTGGTTGGCAAACAGTGGAAGAAGGCCTTAGTGATAGATCTAGCTATACCAAGTTAGAACAACATCAGGAAGAAGAGAAGCTGGAGAAAACAGCCACCACCACTCATTCATGTAAGGATCTAATCAGACAGTCAAATGCTAACAACTTACACATGATAAAGATGACGTGATGAAGCAGTGACTTTGAATGTGACAAGCTGTTGGTGTAAGACAGGCTGGCCTCAGAAAATCTGAAACTGCTGATCTACAGGGACACACAGACATCCTCAGGGTTTACAGAGATGGTAAACAAAAGAGAAAATAGGCCGTGAGCGTCGGTTCTGATGAAAATGCATTCTTGATGCTGGATTTAGAGAAGACTGAGTTTGAGCTGATAGGAAGGCAACAGAATCAACCACTCATTACAACCAAGGCATGCAAAGAGAGTATCTATGGATAAACAACACATTGAACCTTGAGGCAGATACACTGCAGCAGCAGAAGACCAAGCTGGGTGCCACTCCTGAAAATCCCTGGATGGTCTAGTGATGAGTCTGGACTCAAGGGTGATGGTGTAATGCTGTGGGAGGATACTTTCTTTCTTTGAATGCATTAGTCCTAATTAAGCACCGTTCAATTAAGCACTTGTGATTCAGATTAAGGTCGGCTCAAATTACAGTGTCTGTCTCTGCACGTGTACACTGCTCTACAGATTTTACTGAGGAAATTAGGATTCATATACTTTACAGGTGTTTTTGGATGTAATGCTACAAGAAAAAGTGGAACGAAATGATGCTTCTTGAATTCACTGGATACAGCAGTAAGATGAACTGTGTGCTTGTGTGTGTTTGATACAACAAGCTTACATAAGGAATTCTACTCAACCTCATCTCTGACTTGCACAAAAACACACTGCATGTGTCATTATGAGTTGAAGTGGAGCAATTTTGGCTCAGCCATTATCTGCTTACACAACCCACTACAGTGAGGAGAGTCTTGATGTGTGCTTGTGTGTGCGAGCACTAGCTGGTTTTTGTAGTGTACAAGGACAATGTCCACCACACGTTTTATATTACAAGGACTGGGCCGGTGCCCTCATAACCCACCTCCACGATTTCTCCAGATGTCATCATGGCTCAAAATAACTCAGCTTTTGTTTCAGGAATCTGAAATCTGTGTATTTAAACAGTGCCCCTTTGGTGGGCGTGTATTGGTTTGTAGCTCTTAGTTGGCAGCCTCATCAAGTAACCTCGTCTTTGATCCTCAAGCCCTATGTTGACTGCTTCACTCTAGCCCAGCCAGCTGCTGAGCTATTCAGATGGCATTCATGACTGCTCTTTGTTGTTAAGGTAACATTCTGTGATAGAGCTGAGTAATGAATAGCATCCCTCTCGGGACACAGCCCAGGGTGCAGTTATTAAATATTCTGTGGTTACAGAGAGAAACAGCACAGCCTCTGGCCATTTTCCTGTGTCCATGAAGGCGAAAATAGAAGAGGAACTATGTGCTACATGAAAATAAGGTGTTTCCTGCATGGGAAAAACAGTGTTGAGCATTCGAGAGCTGTGCCACTGCAGATATTACCAGGAAATACAGAAGAAGCCTTACATAAACATGCCTTTGGGACTGTGCAATTAGGGAAGAAGGAAGACCTACTGTGTGCTATTTCAGTAGTACACACAGACTGCATGTTAGTACTTGTGATTTAGTTGTGTGAAGCACTACTCTCGGTCATATCAAAACCCCGTGACTGCTGGCTTGTTGACTTCTTGTCTGCTAGAGGTCTGTGCTGCCACTGCTGTCCCTGGGATGTGAAATTCTGCCTATTTGTGCATGTTGCCCATTTTCTCACGAGCACATTGTCTAACACAGGCCTATGTCACAAGCACTGACATGCATTATTTCAAACTGGATAAATCTAGCTAGTTACAATGTTACTGTAACCTTTCCTGAGCCTGCTACCCCAGACCTCTGAGGTCATCAAGGGTAACCAGCAAAAATATACATTTCTAATTGGACTGGCATCTAAAATAGCAGTGTTTTTACACTAAAACCCAGTCTCTAAGCAGTTTTATATATAACAGCCCCAACATTAATGCATTGGTTTCACAAGAAATGCTAATATAGATTAACATAGACCTGCATTACAATTCAAAGGTTTGGACACAACTTCTCACTTAAGTTTTACTTTATTTTCATTTTCATTGTAGATTCTCACTGAAGGCATCAAAACTATGAATGAACACATGCAGAATTCTGTAGTAAAGAAACGTGTGAAATAACTCAAAATATGTTTTATATTTTAGATTTAGATCCTTCAAAATAGCCACCCTTTGCTTTGGTTACTGCTTTGCACACTCTTGGCTCCCTCGATGAACTTCATGAGGTCGTCACCTGAAATTATTTTCCAACGTTCGTGAAGGAGTTCCCAGAGATGTTGGCCCTTTGCCCTCACTCTACGGCCACGGCATGTCACTGCAGGATGCTGTGGTAGCCATGCTGGTTCAGTTTGCCTTCAGTTTTGAATAAATCCCCAACAGTGTCAGCAGCTCCTGCACTGGGGAACACATTGACTGAGAAACTGTCATTTCTCTTTAATTAGCTGATTGGTTCTTGGTATAATATGAATTCAAATAGCTATCAAATAATGCTTTCGGCTGTGCACCAACTTGACTTCTGCACAACACAACTGATGGTCCCAACTCCATGAAGGAGGCAAGAAATTCCACAAATGAACCGTGACAGGCTCACCTGTGAAGTGAAATGTATGGTTTTCGGGGTTTTTAACGTGAACTTTGAAAGAAATATTTGCGCGTTACCATAACAACCAGAGAGCATTATGGTGCAGAGAGGAGGATGTTACTCTCTGTCGTTGGTGCATTTCAGGAGGACGCTGCTAACAACGTTGCACAATTACACAGTGAATTTGTGTTTATTATTATATTTACAAAATACCAGTTTCTGTCTCGGCCGTATGGTTTTATTTTGCTGTATTTATCTGCGACAGCTTAAAGGCCGCTCCGTTAAACTGGTCCGAGGCGCAAACAAGGCTGCGGAGCGCTGCACTAAATGTTACTGAATTATATTATAATGTCCCACATTTCACCTAATTCTTTAACAGCATTCATATTTAAAGCTTTAAATCACCATTTATCCTCATGATACTGATTTAATTTGTGCAAATACTGACTTCGTTTGGTGAGCAGTGTGTATTTTACAGTGATGTCCTCAGGCTAAAATATCAGCATAATCTGTCTCCATTTAGGTCTATTCTTAGGAGGTATAATACCATGTTTATGCCTCAGCAATACCATTACACAAAGCTCTGATTAAAAAGTGTGTGGAGCACCAGTTTAGGTCCAGGTGTGACTCAGAGCGGAGGTCTCCCCCTCCCCTTTCTCCCTGCTTTCTCGAGTCACTAAAACTATTTAACAAAGGTGACAAAAATCTCCCCCAAATCAAAGCATCTTCTGCCATTTATAGTACACAGTTTACTATGAACGATCAAACGGTTCTTTGCCTGACTGCATGTACTGTGTTGACATTTAGACAATATGTTGGTGTTCATGTTCACGGCAATTTAGCAGGATAAGTTACACTAAACATCAGGTCGAGACTCCAGAACAACGCCACCCTCATTAAAAATGCTGGTCTGAAGTCAAAAGTGCTAAAGAGTGCTGGTATAGGACTCTGAACAAAGAAAGACAATGCAGTCCGTCTACTAAATAACATAAATATAATCTTTATTTCTGTATACATATGTTTAGAAGGCCAGAATAAAAGTTTAACAGCCTTGTATGAGAAACACTTTTGTTTAAATTTAAACACAAAGACTAACATTAGCTGTCATTCACAGATACAACTTTTCACTAACAGTCCAGTTTGCTTCTGCTTTTGTGTGACTATGAGAAATGTCCTGCAGACTGTCGGCTGTGTTAGACGTAAGTGTTGACCAGCTAATAGAATATAGGGCTAAACTGCTACTAAACTATACATTTGTCATACATATGTACACACAGGCATGCACACATCGTCCACTTTTACTATGATCACTTTTTACCACTCCTACCCCTACAAAAACAAACAAGGTGATCATTCAAGTACCTTTAGAAAAGGTGTGATGTCTTATAGGCATAACACTGGTCACGATCAGCACTCTGAACCTGCTTTCATAGTTCTCATGTTATGTGCCAAAGGTGGTAGTTCTTGAAATATAAATGAGCCTCCAGAGTGGAAACACTGGTTAATCACTGGGACTGAAACAAACAAAAAAACAACATTGGTGACAAACTAAAACTATCTAAACCACTCATGGAAGACCTTGTAGCAGTGCTGTGGTAGCTGTCGTTACTTCACAACAGTTGGTTCCCTTTTTGTGTGGCATTTTCTTCAGGTGTTCTCTAACAGTACAAAGACACCTGAGTCTGTTTTCAGGTACCCTGTGTGATTGGTGTACCTGTGCCTGTTACCCAATGGGTGGGAGGACAGGGCCACATGACCCTGGTTGATTAAGCAATTAAGGAGCCAGGTAGACACTGTGACACTGGGAAAGTAGATGAACCATGGCACAAAGCACAGGACCAGCTTCAGAGCTCTGGGCTTTCCTACTGTGACAAATCAAAATGTTTGCCTTGAACAGGGCCCATGTTACATTTGTAATGTGTGCATGACTATGTAGAGAAAAGCGGGCCTGTAGAAGCAGCAGTGAAGACAGGGCCAGTGTAGAGTCCTGGTCCATCCACAGGAACCTTTGGATAGAAGAAAATAAAAAATTAATGCAACCTTGCATTTTTATTATTGATTATGCCACCAGCATTTAAAAAGCAATAAATTCTATGTGTAGTACAACTTTGAGAATGCCTTAATTACATTACAAAAACATTTACGTTAGACTAAAATGATAAAATCTCTTTTATTTTGAAGACTTTTTTCATACTGTATCCTATAACGTCTTTAGATTGTTGATTCTTTAACCTCTTAAGCCCCGAGCCTGACTGATCTCCTGCCTTTTGGCCCCGTATCAGGGGGCGTTGGGGCTTAAGAGGTTAAGGACGCAAACAGAAGTGATTACGTTCACGGTTCATACTATCCATCTGTATATGCTTAAATAAAATCTTTTTGATGTGTTTTCTTTGTTAATTTAACCACATACAGACATTCAGAAGAAGTGCCCTTCAACTGCACACTATCACTGCTCTGTGAGGCTGAACCTGCACGGTGACATAAAGGTTCTCGATCATTTCAGGGTCACAGCACACAGACTTATGACTAACTACGTAAATAAATGCTACATTTATTTATGTAGTTAGTCACAACTACATAAGCAATAGTTATTACAGCAGCCAGTGTAGACTGAAGGCTCTCGCTGAGCAATCAGTTACAGCGGATCCACTCTTTTCTTTGTAGTTACACACTTGCAGGGTGACTTATATTAAAAGTGACGTGACTGTCAGAGCTGTGACTGCTGTGGGTTACCTCTCCCAGAGCTTGCAGGGCAACTGTGGCTGCCATGGCCTTGGCGTGCTTCTTATTGGGACTGGCTGTCTGGGGTTGGTAGTCCACACCATTCACTGTGACCTGGAGATAACACAACACATAACTCTGTTCACTAACAACATCCAACAAACACAGGTCCAGATTAACAAAATCCACTTTCTGGGATCGTAAACAACACGTGAATCTGATGCATTTAATTAAAACACTTTTTTAGCAGTTTTTTAAAAGGTTTTTAATTACATGCACTCTCAAGGATTTAGCATGAGGGACAATAACACGAGCCAGGAAGTACACCTGTGTGGTGCTCAATCATCTTTGATCAAATAGATTGAAATAAAAAAGCCTCACATATACAAAAACATGTGTTTAAGAGTTGGTAATAGGGTCACAAATGAAGTTAAATAAGGCCAAAATGCATACGAGAGGAATAAAGAGCTGGCTGTATATAACAGAATCAGGTGCTTCCCTTTGTCACATACAGTCACATTGTACCACTACAGTAACATCTTTGAAACTGACACCACAACAACTGGGAAGCAGCAGAGACTCCAAACTCCCCCTGAGATGCTGGATATTACGAACACAGATCACTATTTATAATTTTCATTTTCTCAGATGCACCTGTAAGTTACCCAAAAGTAATGAGATTACTGTTACTTTCCCATAAGCACGCTGCGTTACTGCGTTACTAAACCGTGGTTTGTTTGTGAGAGCGTCTCATGACAACGACGTACGAGCGTGCGACGCCCGTGGCAGCAACAGACGTGTGCAGATCAACAATGGATAATATAGAGTGCAGAGAGAGTACATGCAGCGTTCAACGCTTGGAAGTAATCACATTACTTTGAGTTTGATTCTGTAAAAATCCACTGTTCACTCTGTGTGGGAAGAAAACTTTCTACAGCGAAAAATGAAACTTCAAATGTGAGCGAGCGGCGAGCAGCGAGCGCGCTGCCACGGGAACGCGACGCTCACAGAGAAACCCCCGAATGCGTAAACGAGTAAACAGTAAATTAATGGGATTACTTTCTTGGAGAAGTAATCAGTAATTACTAAACTAATTTTGGGAGTAACTAATTACTATTTTCAAGGCCAACACTGTTGGTCATATAAGGTGATTTACCCACCACCAGCAGTAATGTGATTACTATCGTCAGATGATTTTTGTTGCCTCTGATTATAAAGCCTGCAGAGCAGGAAGCTCCAGCTGCAGAGTGACTGTGTGGGGTTTAATGACGTAGTGGAGAAGGTGCAGATTGTCGCCAGCTTCACACAGAATGAAAATGACCCACCTTGAAAAGAAAATTCTTGCGGTGGTCAGGACCACTGTGATGGACCATAACAAAGTCTGGCTGCATTATCTTTCTCTTGTTACACAACTCAATGAGAGCAGACACCGGGTGCTTCCCTGCACACACATAAAAGGACATCGTTAGATTTGGAGAGCGCTCAGAGGAAGCTCTTTTTCTACAGAAGCATTGATATTTATGATGAATATCTTTTGTCCTTGTTTATGTTTGACATGCAGCTCAGACCCTTGCAGGAGCTTTTGCGGTTTACTACAGATTTAGAAGTTACTATTCCTGAAAAAAGATCGACTGCACAAACAGTTCAGAGAATTCTGTTTATTGTTTATGTGAGATCGCCATCTTGTGGAAAACATCGGCACTGCGGCTTATTTGTTCTGGTTTTGCACATTTTATATGTTGTAGTGGCAGAGCTGCGTAAGTATGTTGCACATAATCACGTATATCTGCACCTTTGTTCTGATTCACATCACTTTGCTGAGGATAAATTACACACACTGTTCTGATGCTACCGATACTTTGATCCTGTGGATGAAGGCTGAGAGCCAGACTTACAATGCAAACTGCACGTTGGAAATGAAAAGTTACTTCCTGGATTTACCAAAGACGTGCAGCAGCATGTTTGTAATTGACAGGCATGGTTGTTTATTGTTTATGTATTTGTTGGAATTTTCCTTTTAGAGGTGAATGCCTAAACATGTAAGTGCTGCTGCGTTTATGGACTTAACAGTAACTTCTTTAACATGCAAATTGGTTCGTTTCTGGACACAAATACTGTTTTATCTTCTTCTGTCAATCCTAAATGTCAGCTGATACACACGGATTTCAGATTTGGTGGAGTAATATATTCATTCTCCAGCTATCACACCCTCACAGATGACACTCACTCAGCAGAAACCTCTAACAGCAGGGTCTGATTCTCTGCCTCTCACTGGTCCTAAGCACCATCGTTATCATAAAGAAATGCATGTAGAACAAGTTTACTGTGTATTTGCTCCTGTGGGTCTGATTGGGTTTTTTGATGAGCTGCAAGACTAAAGGTCAACAGTATCACCATCTTTCAGGAAACAAATTCAGGTGTATTTTACCCATCAGATCCTTGGTTACTACCAGTCCACCAGTTTGCTTCTGTAGTTTCTCTCCTTCAGCAACTAGACCTAAAACATTAAAGTCAACATCAATAATGTGGTATTATTTATAATATCACCCATACACTTCCCTAAAGAGTGAAATGTGAGAATCGTACTATAAACTAATATTTGTGGCCAAATAACAGTAAATCCATGCAATATGACACCATATAGATCCCACTGCCTTCACTATCACCGTCTTGCAAAGCTTGTGTGAGCATCTATTGTCGAGACTCCGCAGCAAAAAGTGCATCACTTGGTTTCTCGTACCTTTGCGGTCAACCTTAAAGTCAATAACGATGGGTTCCACGGTACCCTCGCGGTTCCTTCCGAGCCCTTCGCCTGTCTTCCACCCCATCTTTCTCATCAGGAACTCCCCGACACCCCCTGACACTGGAGCTGCCCTGAGAAACTGGTCCTAGTCAGAACACAAACAACACAGTAAAAAGTCAGAAGGGAGAAAAGAAAGAAAACAACATCTACACGAGCGCAGGGATGGGCAGGATATGTTATCACATTTTCATCGCAAACATTTTCTTCTCATGCTCCTTGTCACAGTCGCAATTGTGTGGTGTCTCTTTAAGACAGCCTAAGGTGATGTTTTGTGATGTCACAAGTATGCGCTGCTGCCCATGCTGTGGGAGAAACATGCTGCACATGAACGCTGACTGAGATGAACCTCGTATCTTTATACCTAACTCAAAGCAACGTTACGGGTTGTGTGAACACTGCTCGCTTCATATATGATGAGACAGCAGCCGTTCAACCGGGCCGTGTAAGGTTGATGAAGAGTGTGTTTGTTAAAGGACGAGCACTGTGGAATTCCCAGTGTGGTCGTGAGTCTGTGACCGTCCTGCCGAGTGTTTCTGCCGCCTCCTCTCAACCACTGAATACAACCCACGTTGCAGCATGCAGTGAAGTACACGCAGGTTAAATGTAGGTAACTGAACGTGAACCAGCGATCGATTAGAGCAGGCAGATACGTCTTCTTCATGTTTATGCTTTGAGAACATGCGATTCGATAAGACTCCAAAGGTTTTGATCACGACAGCAGTGATGAGTGCGGCTGCTGTCTTAAAAACACACTGTTTGTATTCCAGCTGTGGCAGACAGGAAGAAGAGGCTGCACAATAACTTACACACTTCTTTGCTGCTGTTGTTGAGAAAAAAAGGGTTGAATCTTGCATCACTTTCTATTTGCACTCAAGCTTCTGGATGTATACTACAGTACGCATGTGATGACACGGCTGCACTACTGCACGTCTTTTCTTCTATATTGTCTAGAAGAGTTATAACCTCTGCTTTCTAACAGCCTCAGATGTGAGGCTCAGTGTGAAAATACTGAGCATAGTATACTAGACGTGGTGCAGAGCTTCACTAGGAGATGACTACCAGGGGGTTAAAACTCAATCAAGCTTGATTTTTGCGTTGAATGCTGTGTACATTACCTTCTTCAGCCATGCTTGTGGTCCACTGGTCGAGAGCTCCTCAGAGCTGAGGACCTGGGCTCCAGTTGAACCAGTGAAAAGACCAGGAACCGTGTTGGATTGGGCCCAAGCATCTACCTATTGAAAAAGGACACTTCTATAAAATAAGAGCGTTTAAGCATGTCTGTATTTGTCTGACACAACTGTCAGTATTCCGAGATTAGCTATCCCCATTCTCTGGGCTTCACGTTTGCTACCATGGGTGGGAATGCAGATTTGATTTGGCAGGTTTTCTGACAGATCCACAGGCCTCTGGCTGCTCTTTTTGATTTTATAGAAGAAACACTGTCACATAAATCATTAAGACTAATTTCATTCACGAAGCGTCTACAAAACATCTGCTTCCAAACAGATCAACTGCAGCTGCTGCAGTCAGTATCAAAGTGGCAGCTCCACCTCACACTCATGACAGCCGCACAGATATTTATGAGGCTCAGTCACCACTTAATCAAAGCTGAATGTTTTCCCAAGTTTACGCTTTTGTGAAATTGTATAATACGCATAAAATACTATAACACTCAGAATTAACCTCAGCAGCTACAACATTATACAAGTATTAATATGTGAGTAATGTCTCAGCAGTGGTACACCAGGGACAGATCACCTACTACTAGTGTGTGAATGTGTGTGTGACTGAATGTAGTGTAACGCACTTTGGGGTCCTTATGCACTGAGTAAAGCGCTGTGCAAATACAGGCCATTTACCATTTTTACCATCTACTAATCAGAAGGCTGGTGGTTCGACCCCCATCTGCTCCGGTCTGCATGTCATCCTTGGGCAACACACTGACGCCAAGTTGCTCGAATGTGTGTGACTGTTGGGTAGAAAGCACTTAGCATGGAACAAAGTGCTTCTGCAAATGTGTTTGAATGGGTGAAGGAGGCAAGTTGTGTAAGCAGCAAAGCAGTATGTAAGAACCATTTACACTGAACATGAAATGCTTTTGTGTCTTTTGTGCATTTTCCTGTTTTACAAAATGCTGACCTGACAAAATGAGAAAAGCCATGTTTAGTTTTTATTGAAAAAAGATGATATTAGGAGCTGAAACCCAGAACAACATTTACATGCTGCACCTAAAACTGAGGCTGCCAGAGTGGTGATACAGTGTGATTATGCTGCTATTATAGCATCTTCATAGTTTCACACGCTAACAATATAACGTTTTTATGGTGAGCACGTTAGCTGCTTTAAACGTTTATTCTTTTGAGACTTATTACCTGCTCTTGTGCTCGGGTGAGCATGCGGATGGCACTGATGTCATAGGGGTTCTCAGCCAATCGCCTCTGAGCTTTGATTCGTTCAGTTACAGCCTGGGTGATGTCTACTTGCTGGAGAGACAGAAAAACAGAGAGCGAGAGAGGTTAGTCAGACACAGGTTTGAGGGTTAAGAAGGAGAGAAGACCCAAACTAGAGTTGTTTTAAACTCTTACAGTCTGAATAAGTCCGTGATACAAAAATATCTTAAACCATTCAATTGTTTTGCAGCTAGTTTACAAAGAACAAAGAAAACGGAGCTTCCTCCAAAACCCTAAATACAAGCACACTGGGTTCATTGGTAACTCTTAACTGGTCAAAGGTTTGGCAGCTGTGTGGCTGAGACTTTGTGTTAGCCCACTGCTGGCTGGTTCACACTCCAGGGCCCCACTTATCTAGAAATCTCTGTTTGTTCATAAACACTTCACTTTACTGATGATTACCTCGTTAAAGACTAAAGTGTTTTCAAGAAACTGTTTAAATTCCATTTTCTCATTTTATATGTCAATAACAACATTACAAATTCAGCCACTTTCCAAATCAATCCATGCCTCCCACCAAACCTAGCGCTTATAAATCAGAAGGTGTGGAAACAGCGGTTCAACAACAGAGAAGATAAAATCTCGATGTACCCTATGTTTCAATGACATACTTCATTTAACTTTTGTAAAGCATTTAAACAATGTTTCCCACAGACAGGCAGTGTAAAAATAAGAGCTCTACCACACAGCAAGACAAAATATGCCCAGAGATCCTTCCAGGAAAATTCATGTCAGCTCTGCCTTCACCACACAAAATCTGTTTCAACGCTGATATTGTCAAAGTTGAACATTAATTAGCATCTCATTAAGCCGCATTTTAAAAACAGCGACCTTTCCAGTCCAATAAAAGTAATGTCTCGGTGCCTTCCCTCAGAGCACGTCTTTGGTGGGACGGGAGTAATCTAGTCCCATCACTGTAGACAAACACTGTCAAAGCACGGTCCAGGCAAATGGCAACAACATACTGTTTGGATCGTTTTGCATTTCATGTTAAACGAAACCTTCTTTGGGGAAACACATGAGGAAGGACGCATGAAGGAAAATGCAACAAAGAACTGAAGCAAACTGAGGGTTTAAATATGGGAAGAGTGAAGAAAGACAGAAACAAACAGCGAGAAAGACACCAGAAGGCACAGGGAATAAAGGGAAGGCAGAGTAGGAACAACAAGAGAGTATAAACAAACTAGATCATTAAACTACGGAGAACTAAGAATACAAACACAAAACTCAGCCTAAGAATTTTATCTCCAACTTCCTTTCAGATAAGTGGTAAATCCACTCTTGGAAGAAGAGACCTGGTTGAGCTTGCTAGCATTAGTACAGGATATCCAGTGGATTTTGTCCAACTAAACACTGTAATGCCTGGCATAGTGGAATCACACAATCACATTTACTCCATGCACTGTTCACCAGCATCGCCCAAATGATCTTTAAAAAGGTGAGAGGTGTTCACTTCTGTTGTATAGTATGCACTATCTCATTTCTCACCTGCAGTTGTGGGTCAGGAAAAACTTTGTCACTGTTGGTCACAAACGCTGGCTGTTCAATAACTTCCTGCAAAACCGCTGCCGTTTCCCCTGATGATGATGATGAGGAGGGTGCTGCTGACAGAACATTTGTTTGGGCCTTTGTTGTAGCAGCAGCCTTCTCGGTTGTTTTGTCAACTGGCACCCATTCTCCATAAGCACCCAGTCCCTCTCCTTCCTGTAACACATTACATTAGATAAGTAACTATGGGTTTATATTAAAAGACATTTTCTTTGATAATTACCTGCAATTAATCAGGTTAAAGGGAGACATTTATTCTGTGGAATACAAAGTGCAGCTCAAAGAATAAACTGAAGCTAGAATTGTTTCAATGCTTACTGTTCATATAGATCAGATTCAGATCATTTTATTGATTCTGACAATTCATTTGCAGCTTAGCCACAACCTGCTCATGCAATCACAGGCACAAATAGAAATGTGTCCACCAACGATCATACAAAGAAGTCCATCTAAGTGTGTCAGAGTTAAGTGATCTAATAGCCAAGGGAATAAAAGATTTGAAGTATCTGTTTGTGTTTCACTGGGAACGAGGTAATGGTGACCTGAGAGGAACTTCCTGAACTCAAATGACGAACATGGTCAGCACAGCTGATTCTTTGGGGGTATTGAGAGGTGCCCTG